CACCCCCACCCCCCCCGCAGGTGTTCTTTGCGGGCGAGGCCACCACTCGCAAGTACCCGGCTACCATGCACGGCGCATTCTGGTCGGGGCTGGAGGTGGTGAGCTGAGCTGGCCGCCTTCGCCGCCGCCACACTAGTACTGTGCCTGCCCGCATACCCTCCCACTTGCTCCCTTGCGGCAGCCTTGCCATCCCAGCCAGCCAGCCCAACCCGTGCAGGCAAGAGGCCGCGGGCCTGCCCCGCCCCGTGCCCACGCCCCTCCTGGCTGCGCCGCAGGCGGCAAACGTGGATGCCACGCTGCGAAGAGCGCGGGCGCCGCCGTCGGCGCCCGCCGGCGGCGTGGCGGCGCGGCAGGGCGGCGCGGCGGCGCCCGCGGCGGCGCAGGCGGCCGACGCGCCTGCCGCCGCCGACCAGCACCTGCGGGCGGCTGCCGACCTGCGCCGGCTGTTTTGCGACCCGCAGCACCCGCCGGATGTCGCTGTGGAGGGCATGGCGGCGGTGCACGCGCCGCCGGCATGCGGCGGCGCCGACGGCGGCGTCGACGGCGGCGCCGGCGCGGGCAGCCCCGCGGCTGCGGCTGCGGCTGCGGCGGCTGCGCAGCAGAGCCTGGTGCGTGTGGATCTTGGGGAGTTCAAGGGGGGCAGCCGGCGGGGGCTGGGGGAGCGCTACTTTGTGGTCACCCGCGCCGAGGCTCGCGCGCTGGCGGATGCGCCCAGCCTGGAGGCCCGTGTGGTGCTGCTGGAGGCCACCCCAGAGTTCCAGTTCGCGGGGCGGCAGCAGGCGCAGGCGGCGGCGGTGGCGTCGGCGGTGCGCGGCGCGCAGCAGCGGCGGCAGCAGGCGCAGCGCGGCCAGCAGCAGCAGGCGGGGCGGCCCAGCGGCTTTGTGATCCCGCACCGCAGCTGAGCTGGCGCCGGGCGGAGCGCATTACATTCGCGTGTGACACACACAAACTTGTTATAACAGGAGCGGTTCCACCACCGCATCATCTGTGGACCTGCCCCATGCTGCTGGAATGCTGGCAGGCTTGCAATCGGCTCGATTGTAAGCAAGAGAGGGACGGGTGGGGTTGGCGGGCCACCTGCCGGTCCTGTCGCCGCCGGCTGCAGCTGCTGGTCCCCTCTGTACCCCGCACGTCACGTCGGTGGGCCCCCGCCCAAGATCATCTCCTAACGAGCACCTGATCGATCTCCATACATTTCAAGCTCTCGCCTGATTGCAGCGCGCTGGAAGGGCGGGAGGCACGTGTTTTTCGCCCTGTCCAAGCGCGGGGGACGGCCTGGCATGCCCTGGCATGCGCCCTGACATGCGCCCCATACAATGCAGGCTTGATGGGTGCGCAGGAACTGGCAAACCGCGCAAGTGGTGAAAAGCGGGCAGTACGTGTTGTGGAAACGACCCGGATATGAGGATGAGCATTTTGGCCAGCTGATTCTTCGTCTTCATCATCTTCTCATTCCATTCTGCTAATCCCCTCCAGTGCGCTGCTCAGCTTACCGGCTAAAGGGTTGGCTGCAGTACAGCCATCCCGCTTGTGAATTCGTCTGTCGTGTGTTCCCGCTCCCCTGTCTTCGCGCAAAGAGGCATCCCAGCGGCGTGCAGTAGGCGCTAGGGCCAGGGGAGGGCATGGCGGCGCTCCCTTCCCCTGCAACTGCTGCTGCCGCTACTGGCTCTTGTAGCGGCACTTTACCAGACGCCACAGAGGCGGCAGCGCAAGCAGAAACGGCTGGCAGACGGTCTGAAGCCACAGAGTTGTTCCAGGTGGGTTGACATAGTCTATGGCTGCAGCTGTGGATTGGAAGAGGGGAGCTGCGGCGTTTTTCAGAGGCCTTGAGATCCGCCGCACACGCTTCCGCCATACATGTAGACCTGCTGCGAATGAATGCATGGCTGCCCCTAATCAGAATGCATAAGCCTGACTTCAGGACGACAAGCGGCGCAAACACGACCATGATGCCTCTGCAGCCGGAGAACAGCAAGCCGCCGCCGGCGGCAGCAGCGATGCAGCCAGCGGCAGCGCGTCACGTGGCGGCACCGCACCGCCCGAGTCACGGCATCACCCAGCCGAGGAGGACGCAGATGGCCAGAACAGGAGCCAGCAGACGGCAGTAGGTGCGCGCAGCGCTGCCACTGGAGGCAGCGGCAGCAGCCACTCCATGCCTTCAAGTGGCAGCCCGCCAGCAGCGCAGGCAGCAGCGGTGGACCTGCCCCCAGAGGCTGGCTGCGCGTCAGAGGCGGCTGAGTCACCGCCACAGCAGCAGCAGCAGCAGAACCGTGCCTTGGGCGTGTCAACAGAGCTGGCGGCAGGTGGTGCAGCTGGTGCCAGCATGCGGCCGGGTCCATCTTTGCCATTATTAGAAGCAGCAGCCGCTGGCAGCCTACCCATTTTGTACGGCCCAGGCATGCAGCAGCAGGCGCCAGATGTGGTGCCGCAATTAGATGCCTCACGCACGCTTGGCGACGTTCCCGCTCACGACAGCTGGTGGCAGCAGCAGCAGCAGCAGCAGCAGCAGCAGCAGCAGCAGCAGCTGTCTCCAGGCGCCGGCGCCCCCGCCACCATCCTGCCCTGGGCCTCGCCCGGGCGGGACCCCCTGCTGCGGGGGCGCCAGCCGGCAGGCACGGCTGCGCCCGCCCTTGCACGCTTTGTGCCGCTGTCGGAGGTGGGCACGCTCCCTTGGCTGCACCCGGCGCTACGACAGCCGGCCCGGCCGCAAGCAGCAGCGCTCCCGCGGCCAGCTGGCGGCCTGGCGGGGCAGCAGCATGGCGGCGGCGGCGGCGGCGGCATGAGGCTGCAAGTCCAGGCGCCGGTCATGGGGCCGCCGCCCCCCCGATCCCCTGCGGACCGCTCGCAACCTGACCACCGTGATGGCTCGCCAAGGTGAGCGCGATAGCAGATGGCGGGCACATCAGGCGGCAAAAGCCACCGCCCAATGAGCCCTGGACTGCATGATGGGCCCTCTTGTGTTACAGTCACCCCGCTATGATAGGCCGCGTGAGCAGACCTTGGGCAGGGGGCACACGTGATCAAGGGCATCAAGAGAGGGGGTGGACCATGGAGCACCCTCTCCATGGCTCCGACCACCCTCCCCCCGCATTCGCCGCGGTTCCATGCTGGCTGCGTCCCCCACCTCTGAGCTGCCTGCACAGCGTGTGCCCATTTCCCCGCAGGAGTTGATGCTGCATCTGCAACTTAGGTTTCCCCCGCTAACCTTCCCCCCCCACCACCACCCCACGCTAAGGCTGGCGCCCCCGTGAAAAGCATGTACCCTCGTGAACAAGTTTGAAAGGCATGCCCTTGTCCCATATCGCGCTTACTTCGTATTGTAAGCCACAGTTGTGCGCCAGAGAGTACGCCCCGGTCGCTGGCAGCTGCCACGTGGGCGTAGCATCCCATCCTCCTCTAGCCACTGGCTCGCAAACGCAGGTGTCAGGCCGCGATCGCAAGACGGTGTAGACCGGGAATGTCCCACACCTTCAGCGGGCATCTGTTTATCACCCACCCATGCCCAGCTGAAGATGAGCGACCAGCGCAGCTCCGCTCTGCTCCACACATATTCTCGACTCCAGACCGGGGCGGCGGGCGCAGAAGCAAGCCCCGGGCAGGAAGCGAGCAACGGCGCCAATAGCGGCAGTACGCTGCTGCCCTCGCCGCAACCGCCGCCGGCTGCCTCCCCAGAGAAGGTCAAGAGGAAGTGCGGCAGGCAGCCTGCCACCTCGGTGCTGTGTCAGGTGGGCCACGTATTGCATCCTTGGGAAGGGAGGCAGTGGTGGGGCGACATTGGCAGGTAGGGGGGCGGAGGCTGCGTACCGCCGGCAGCGATGCGCACGCGGCGCTCGGCTGATGCCTGGGCCCGCCCTGACGCCCCGACTCCTCGCTCCTCGCCCACCCTCCGCAGGTGCCCAGCTGCTGTGCGGAGCTGGCGACAGCAGACAGGAGCTACTACAGGAGGTGGGGACGGCGGTGGCGCCTGTTTCAAATGCCTGCAGGCTTGAGCGCTTGCTCACCCCAGGCTTGCTGCCTGTCCCCTGCTCCCCGGCAGGTACCGCATCTGCAAGGAGTGCTCCGTCAAGCCCTCCATCCACCTCTCCGGCTCCCTCCAGCGCTTCTGCCAGCAGGCGAGGCAGCCGCGGCGCGCTGGGAAGGCGCCAGGGAGAGCGACGCACGGCCTTCGAGCGCCAGTCCTCCCCATCTGCATGCATGTGTGTTCCTGCTGCGGTACTGCTGCCGACACCCGCCAACTGTGCCGGCTTGCCTTTGCGCTGCCCGCAGTGCGCCCGCTTCCACCCAGTGGGGGAGTTTGAGGGGTCCAGGCGCAGCTGCATCGCGGCCCTGGCCAACCACCGCACCAGGCGGCAGCGCCTGCCGCACAGCAGCGGTAGCCGCTCCCCCAGCGCCCGCAGGCGGCCGGCGGGCGTGCTGGCCAGGCAGGCTGGCAGCGACAGCGACAGCGAGGCGGCAGGTGCTGCAGACAAGAGCGAAGCGGGGGAGGGCAGTGCCAGGAGTGAGGGTAGGTCAGGGGCCTCGTGCGCTCGCAGCACGCACCACATGGCAGCTAGCGCCAGCCCGGCAGCCTTGCCACTGCAGCAGCAGCAGCAGCAGCAGCCGCAGCACCTGGCAGCCACGCTGCCCAGCAGCAGCAGCCCAAGATCTCGGCTGCTGCCGCAGCAGCAGGGCCCAGGATGGGTTTCTGGCGTGGACCTGGCTGGTGCGGGGATGGTGTGGCAGGCTGCCCCACCGCACGTGCCACCGGTGCTGCCTCGCCCAGCCGCCCGCCCCGAACTGGCGAGCCAGAGCAACGGCGGGGCGGCGATGCAGCATGCAGGCCCAGCAGGCAGCCACCGCTCCATGCCGGCCCTGGCCTCCTACCGCAGTGCGCCACAGTGGCACGTGGCGGCGGCGCCACCTGCAGCTCCTGCGGGCGAGGAGCTGGGCACCACGCAGCCACCAGGGTCGCTGTCACGAGAGCAGGCAGAAGGTCGGAGCGCCCTCGTCCTGCCCAGCAGCCCTGGCAGCGCTGAGAATTGCAGCGGCGAGTGGGGAGCGCCCCTGCAGGCGCCGCCAGCCTTGCTCCCTGCAGTGGTGCTGCCGCCCAGTGCTGCTGGGGAGAGCCACTTTGAGGTGAGCCCTGATGACGTCCACTGCCGGGATGGATGCCTGCCGGCTGAGAAAACGCCTTTTGGCCCGTCTTGCCCTGTGTGCCGCTGAACTTGATGATGCCGCTGCTGGTGCTGTGCAGGGTTGGATTGCAAGCGTGCTGCCAACCGCACCGGACGACCCGTTTGAAGCCCTGCTTGCGGCGCGCCACTGGTGACGCCGGCCGCCCCGCTGGCGAGGGCCGGCCCTCTCCGAAGCCCTCGGTCTCCTTTAGCAAACCAGGCACTTGCCAGTGACTTGTTGCAGTCGTGAATTGTTGATATACTGGCTTATGCCAGCAACTGTGACACACGACAGAAGGTTTGCAGGGGTTGTTGTGCCGGATGGGGCCTGTGGTTGTGGCGTCAGTTCAGGATCTCAGGCAGAGAATCAGGGGCAGTCAACTTCCCCCCACGGCTTCAAATTCCTGACTGCAGTACAGACCTCCTCGAAATTCTTTCTTCTTTTCTGTCCCCTCGAGGTAAAAGGTCCAACAACACTTCTTTGTTTGGCATTTGAAGGTCTTGCTGCTCCTGTAGCACTCTGCCCTGCCAGAGCCTTGGGTTTGCCACCACCCAGGGGGCAGGCCAGGGGCAGGCCACACGCCAGGCCAGAATGCAGGGGCAGCCTCAGATCTCTGCTGCAGCCCAGACGAGCGCCACCAGCAGGGGTCCCAGCCCCGTGGCTGGCGTCCAAGGCAACGCCGACAGCCCGGCCACCAGCGGCAGCGGCGGCGGCGACACCGGATGTCCGAGGGGTGGCACGGCTGGCAGCAGGAAGCGTTGTAGCAAGGGCTCCGCCAGGCGGCGGGGCTCTGTGAAGTGTCAGGTTGGCAGCGGCATGCCCATCCCATTGAACCAGCTTTGACCATAAGAGGCAGCGCCTCTTACCGTGCTTCGCCTTCCTACACCTGCGTGCCGCCCCTCACTGCCACGCTGCGCCCTCACGCCTCTTGCGCCTGGGCCAGCGCTCATTGCAGGTGCCGGGGTGCGGGGAGCAGGTCACGAGCGGCAGGCCATACTACAAGCGGTGAGCAGGGCCCAATCCCCGACCTGCCGAGCAATGCACGAAGCTGCCGACCCGCATGTGCCCTCCCGCCTCCACGCCGAGCCTGCAGTGTCTGCCCCCTGGACACCCAAAACTCTGTCCGTGCACCGACTCCCCCCGCATGCACGTGCACCCTGTTTGCAAATTATGCCCCTTGCCCCCAACACCCACCCACCCCGGGTGACACCGCAGTTACAGGATCTGCGTGGCGCACAGCACGGCGCCGCAGGTGGTGCTGCGCGGCACCTCGCATCGATTCTGCCAGCAGCACGGCCGCTTCCACCTGCTGGCGGCCTTCACCGGCCGGCAGCGCAGCTGCGCTGCCAGCCTGACACGCCACCGCAAGCGCCGGGTCGACGCGCGAAAGCAAGCCGCTGCGGGCACGCCTGCGGGGGCAGCGGCCAAGGCACCTGCCGGCCCTGCCCCGAGGGGCTCAGCAGGCGGCGAGCCCAGCATCAGCAGCTGCACCGGCAGCCAGGACGACAGCATGAATGCCGAGGCAGGCGGCGTGATGGGCAGCAGAGGCGGCAGCGGCAGCAGCGGCCAGACAGCAAGCGGCCTGCGCCAGCCAGGCGGGCAGCAGTGTCCCGCGCCGTTCCAGCGCCACGACAGCAGCCACGGCAGCCACTACAGTAGCGCCACTCCACGCCTGGGCGGCGGCATGCCGGCGGCTGCCGCCCCGCACCCCGGGTCACATCCCGTGCAGCCGCTCCTGCCATCTCACCTATTGGAGGCGCAGCTGCTGCAGGCGCTGGAACACACCGGCACCTGGGCAGCCGTGCCGGCGGGCCAGCAGGCCCCGTCGCCCGGCCTGTGCACCATGCCTGCCTGCCTCTCGGCCACGGCTTCCACACAGGGCCCCAGCCTGCCGCCGGCTCCGCCAGCTGTGTCGCCTGTGCCGATGGTGCAGCACCCTGGCCTGCTGCCTGGCCACTCCTGGGCACCGGTGCAGCAGTGGGCCCCAGGCCCGTGCATGCCCGCCAGCCTGCAGGGCTTGGCAGCGCTGCCTCCACCACCCCCGGCGCCTGGCGCGGCTCAGGGCCCGTTTGGGTGGGGCGCAGGCACAGCCTCGCTGCCGTCCCCGGTGCTGTCCAGCGTTGTGCTGGCGCTGCCGCCGCACGCGCAGCTGGCGGCGCAGCCTGCGGTGCAGCTGGCACCCGCCGCTCAGCCCGCTGTGCAGCCCATGCAGTTGCCTGGCGTCGGCGAGCCTGCGCCTCCTCCTTGCCCCAGCAGCAGCCCCGTGCTGCCGCACCAGGCCACTCACCAGGAGCGTGGCCAGCCAGCGCCCCCTCAGCTGCCGCAGCAGCAGCCTGTCTGTCAGGGGTCTGGCGATGGTGTGGAGCCCCCGCCGCCACCACCGCTTCTGCTGGACCCCAGGTTTGATGATGACCTGGTGAGCTGGCGGCAGCCGCCCGTTTGTGAGCAGCTCCCTCGGTGCTGGGAAGCTGCACGGCGCTGGCCCACAGAACCGCTGTCAGTGGCAGCCTGGGGTGCACACATGCTGCGGAGGCAGTGAGACCTGGCTTGCTGCTGCTTCTGTATGCCGCAGGACTTTCTGGCTGCGGAGCTGTCGGCCGTGCTGTCGGAGGCAGACTCCTTTTGGCTGTGACAGGCCTGCCTGCATCCAGCCAGGCCCCTCTCGGCATTGCCAACTCCTCACGCAGCTCAACAGGCGTGGGCTGGCGGCTGCCCACCTGCCGTGAGCAATGCTTGTGCACCAGGACACTCCCTCTCCCCTTTCAGGCACACAGCCGAGCCAGTTGACTGTGCAGCTGCTTTGCTCTGTTGTTGCCGGCTTGCATGCTCTGGGGTTCTGGCCTTCCCGGCCAAGGGATCAACTGCTTCCCACCCAGGCCTATATCCTTGTGTTTGACCCCATTCCTCTCCCTGCTTCCTTCGTTCCCCGTCGATCCCTGCTTTCAACTCTGCGCAAGCAGCTGCGCCGTAATATCTCATGATTACCCTCAGCAATGCATTGCATTTTGAACGCCTGCGCTGTCCCACCATCGCTACGCAATGCGATTTAGAGCTTGGTACTAGGATCAGTCCCACCTACTACTAACAATTTCATTCGTCCACCAGGCCCCTGTTAGAGCTGAGATCCCGAGCATGCCCTAGCCTGCTAAACCAAGTGCCCTGCTGATCTGAAGAGTGTGGCAGTGACGAGTTCCTGTACCAACTAGGAGGAATGAAACTGGGGGCATGGGAAGGGAGGCTATCGCCGACCGCCCCGCTGTCTCGCCTTCTCCTGGGCAGAAGAGAGCGGCGGCGGCGGCGGCGGCGGTGGCTGGGAGGTGTGGCTGGCAGGTGGGTGGCTGGTTGGTCTCCCGCTGCTGCTGCTGCTGCTGCTGCTGCTGACGACGCCTTCGCCACCAGCGCCGCCCCACCGCCGGTCGCTGGCTGCCTGGCTGCCGTACCGGGTTTCCCCCGCGGGCCGCCTCTGCCAGGTGCCAGCCCTGCGGTGGCGGGCGCGGCCTGGGGCCGCCACGTCAGCGGCCTCGGGGGATTCCAGCAGCACGGCATGCCCCGCGCTGAGCACATCTGCCAGGAAGCGGCTGGGCTCGCTCTCCTTCCTGCAAGCACACAGCGCATTCTCACGGCCGGCATCAGCACCAGCACCTCAGCACCACCAGGCCAGCCAGGCGGGAACAGCACTTGACGAGCGACAACAGCAGCAGGAGCGGCGGCGGCGGCGGCGGCACCAGCAGCCCGTCTCGCCTGCTCTGCGGCCCAAAGTGGCTGGTGTGCAGGGTGTGGGTGAGGCGCAGGCGGTGCTTGGCGCGCGTGAGGCTGACGTAGAAGAGGCGCCGCTCCTCGGGCAGAGAGTCTGGAGAGCCGCCGCCGCTCGCACGCACCAGAGGCACCAGGCCCTCGTTACAGCCTGGAGTTGGCGGTGGTGGAGGGGAGGGGCAGCAGCAAAGGGACGCAGCAGGGGGGCGCAGCAGGAGTGAGGTGCTTGGAAGTGAGCGGCGCCAGCAGGGCTAGAGTGGATGGCCAGGGTGGTGGCGACGGGGCGGCGGGCAGGAGAGGGAGGCGAGCGGGCACCCGGCCCGGCCCTCCCTTCTTCCCTCCCTCCTGTTCCCCCTCACCCGGGATGAAGACCAGCTCGAACTCGAGCCCCTTGGCGGCATGCATGGTCATCAGCCGCACCCCGCGAGCCGCCTGGCCGCCCTCCTCCGCGCCTGCAACCACCGGCGCAGCGGGAAAAGGCAGGCGCTGTCTTGGCTGCCGGCCCACGGAAAGTAGCAAGTGGGCCGAGCGGGCCGTGCCGCCCGATGGCTGCTCGTGCTGCCCACCTGAGTACAGCGCAGCTTCGTCCAGGAAGTTTTGCGCGAGCTGCAGGGGAGGCAGGCTGCCGCTGCCGCTGCCGCTGCTGCTGCTGCCGCTGCTGCTCGACCCTGCCGGCAGCTCGCCATCGGCGTCATAGTCCGTGTCTAGCGCAGCAGCTCCCGACAGCTCGCCGGGCTGGTAGCCGGCCGCAGCAGCCACCTGCGGCAGACAGACATGCGGGCGAGACGGTTCGGGGTTAGGACTTTGCGGCAGGTACAGGCTGCAGGGCGGAGCGTGCCGGGCGTGGAGGCGGCTCGAGGGCCGCCACGCACCAGCTGCTGAATGCGCTGCAGCCGCTCCCGCTCCTCCCCCTCCTTGCTGCTGCCGCTGCTGCAGCCGCCCTCTAGCACGTACCGCTCATATCCTGTCTGCACGGGGCAGCAGTACGATGGCAGGGGGCCCAGGCGGTTGAAGCTGAGGGAATAGGCTATTCCCACAGGCTGTTTTGCAATGCAGGCAGGTAAGCCAGACCGTGCAAGAGCGCCGGCAGCAGCCCCGTCCTCCCCCGCACAGGCGCAGCGGGCACGCATCGCCCCAACGCCTGCCTGCATGCCCATGCTGTGCCAGCAGCGCTCACCTTTGCGAGGATCTGCTCCAGCGCTCTATCCAGCGGCTGGCTGGCCACCGCCGCGTGCAGGCCGGCCATCAGCTCGCGGAACGCCTCCACGGCCGCTGCCGCCTTGGCAGTCAGCCCGAGCTCCTTCCGGTCAGGCAGCGTCGGCAGCACGGGCGCCGCGACGCCGTCGGCTGCCGCCGCCTGGCCCGCGCCGCCGCTGCCAAACAGCAGCGCGCACAGGGTGTGGCCCTGGGCGGCCGCGGCAGCCTGCAGCTTCTCCAGGCTGGAGTCGCCGATGCCGCGCCTGCGCCAGCAGGAGCCGACAGGCAGCAGGCAGCAGCCACGGGAGCGATGATCGGCACAAGAGGAGCACAGCAAGCAGCGCAGCAGGTGGTGCCCTTGCGGCGCCGCACCTGGGTGTGTTGATGATGCGAGCCATGGCCACATCGTCGCGCAGGCTCACCGCCAGCCGCAGGTAGGCCATCACGTCCTGCAGGAGGGAAGTGGACAGAAATGTGCGTGCTGTGTGTGCTGTGGTTGTGTTTGTGTGAAGTAGGGATGGGATGGGACGGCGGGGCGGGGGCAGGCGGGAGGCAGAGCGGGCGTCCGGGCAGGGTCCCGCGCGCGCCGCCCCGCAAGCTTGCCTGGACCTCCAGCCGCCGCCAGAAGGGCACGCCGCCGATCAGCACGTGTGCAATGTTACGCTTCACCTGCGGGCGCGGGCGCTGTGGCGGCGCTCAAGGCTGGGAGCAGCAGAAGGGAGGCCCCCCAGTGGCGGATGCCCACCCACAGACGATCCGCCCAGCTTTGGTGGCGATGCAGGCAGCAGCGGCGTCGGCGGCAGCGTCGGCGGCGGCGCCAGCAGCGGCGCTGCCAGCACAGCACAGCACAGCACAGCAGGCGGCCCAGCCCACCAGCTCCTGCTCCACCAGCCTAGCCTGGATGTGTGTTCGGAACAGCACCGCCACCTGCTCCGCGGGGTGCTCGCCGCTGCAGGCGGGCGGGGGGCAGGCAGGCGGGGAGGTGGTGGTGGTGGGTGGGTGGGTGGGTGGGTTGCCCCTCTGGGGGGGGATGGCGGGCAGGTGCAGGCAGGGCAGCTGGCCCAGCGCTGCCCCCCGGCGCGGCTGGCAGCACGAGGCGGGGGGCCCCAAATGGCCCCCCGACGATCTGCCGCACACGCCTCTGCTGCCGCCACTGGCCCCCGCACCCCCCCAGGCGCACCCGCGGCTGGCTCAGCAGCTTGACCAGCTCGTACTGGCTGCTGTTGGTGTCCTGGAACTCATCCACTAGCACGTGCCTGGGGCAGGCGGGGGGTGTGGGGGTGGGGAGGGGCAGGCGCAGGGCGCTGAGGCATGAAGCCTCCCTCAGCCTGCTGGCTGTGAGTGCCTCTGTTGGTTGTGTGCTGGCCATGCCCCGTGGCAGCAGGCAGGTCCAGCGCCAGCGTCGAATAGTCTGCACGCCTCCTGGCCCGCACCTGAAGCGGCGCTGGTACCGCTGCCGCACGTCGTCGCTGCGCCGGAGCAGCGCCACGGCCAGCCCCAGCAGGTCGTCGAAATCGAGGGCGTTGTTGGCGCGCAGGGCCTGCTCGTACCTGCAGGCGGTACGGGCGGCGGCAGTGCAGCAGGCGGTACGGGTGGCGGAGGTACACGTTGCGGTACACAAGCCACAATCATGCTGCAGGTGGCGTGACACACACACACACACACACGGCGGCAGGCAGCGCGGCCTCACTGTCCAAACCAGGCGGCGATATCGTCAGCCGCCGCCGGCTGCACGGCGGCGGCGCCCTCGGCGGCCGCCAGGTGCTCCCGCACCGCCTGCTCCACCGCCTGCGGCGCAGCCGGGCAAGGCGACAGATGGGCACCGACTGTTGCAGGAGCCAGGGGGCATGCGGTCAAGCAGCAGCATGCAGCCAAGCAGGCTGCGCCCTGGCAGCCAGCCGTCGCACCTGGGGCGTGGCGGCGTGCCACATCAGCATGCCGCTCTTCACCCGGCTGATTGCGTCCTGTAGCGCCGCCGCCTTGGCGCTCACATCCCGCGCCTTCCACTCCGGCTGCTGCCCGCGCACCGCGCGCGCCAGCAGGCGCGCCGACATGTCCTGCTGGGCGGCAGGGGCGGGGCTGTTGGCGGGGGGCGTGGGTGCACGGGGCGGGGCGCTGCCGCGAGTGGGCCGCCACCGAGGGTGGGCGGCCCGCAGCGCAAGATGAGGTGATGGGCCGGCCCACGAGGGCGCCCTTGTACACACACTGGTGCACCCCCACCCCCAACCACCTGCCGGGCCACCGACACCCTGCCCCTGCCCCAACATCCTGTGCCGCCGCAGCAGGGCGCCGCACCTGGTCGTACACCGTGAAGGCAGAGGTCCTTCCCGCGCCGGGCAGGTGGCCGATGTGGCGCTTGAGGATGCGGTAGCACAGGCTGCGGCGCAGAGGGCGGCAAGGCGTACGCTGCGTGAGGCGGTGCGGGCGTGCGGTGTGGCATGCTCGAGAGTGCTGCCTGCGGGCTGCTGCACCCAGGCCCTGCCTGCAAGCGGGCACCAGAAGGGCTGGAGTGCTGCCTGGCTGCCCACCCCCACCTGTGAAATGTCCCTGCAAACAGCTGCTCCCCCGCATCCTGACCCAGCATGCCGGCCAGCCGCTCCCGCATCTCGTTCGCTGCCTGCAGCGCAGCAGCCGCAGCACAACCCGGCGCTCAGGGGGCAGCTTGCATGCAGCAGGCTCGGGGCGGCAGCGGTGCGCTGATGCCGCACGTGTGGGTGGTGCAGAGTATCATACATACTGGGCAGCTGGCCTAGGCTTAGGGACACTGGCCGGCTGGCTGGCTGGCGTGCGGGTAGGCAGGGTGCCGCATGCACTCCAGCGCGCCTTGTTGGTGAAGGTGATGGCCAGGACCTGCCATGGGCGCGCGCTGTGCGCATGGATCAGCTGCGCGATCCTGGCCGTCAGCACCCGCGTCTGCAGCAGCGGCGGCAGCGGCAGGGGGCGGCGGCAGCAGCTCAAATCGGCTTTGTTGCCAGGCATGCGCTGCAGCCGTAGCAGGCAGCCCACCGCCTGCCACGCCGCAGGCCCACCTTGCCGCTGCCGGGCCCCGCCACGACCCGCACCGTCCCCAGGGGAGCTGTCACCGCTGCCAGCTGCTCCTCGCTCAGCTGCTGCAGGTGGGGCAGGGGCTGGGCCACAGAAGAGGCGGCCCGCTCCTGGGGCGGCCCACAGGCGGCAGCGGCGGCGCTGGCGGCGGGCGGAGGCGGCGCCCGCTGCCGATGCCAGTCTGCTGCTGCTGCTGCGCCGCCGCTCTGTGCGCCGTGCCCTGCTGCTGCCGTGACTCTGTGCCACGACAGAGCTCTGCTTTCAGCCGATGCGGCCTGGCGGGAGAACGCTTGGCGAGCGGTGCTGCGCACAGAGCGCCCACCGTGCTGCATAATAAGGCTGAGCCACATGCTGGCTCTCGTTTCAGCGCACACAGGCTCCATCATGGCTGCGGGTTCAGTGGCGGCATGTCAGGTGTGAAGGGCAGGCGCTGCAGGCCATCGTCTGCATGAATAATTGGTGTCGCGGGTTGTGGACAGGAGGAGAGGTTGCATGGAGCGATCAATGCAGCAGCCAGACAGCTGGCCCCGGCGCCGCCGCTTGCAGTGCCGCCACTGGCGGCGCCGCCATCTCGAGGGAGAGGAACCAGACTGGGCAGTCCCTCCTTCAATTTAATGAGTTCCAGGGCTGCCTCCCTCAACTGCCATGACTGGGAGAATGGATGGATGGGTCAGGGGGAAGGGCGCACCATGCACTTGCGGCGGATCATGCGTTGAATTGGAGGAAAGTGCACAACAGGCCCTCCCTCCTTCAAATCGGCCCTCGTCGCTCCCATCGCCCATGATTTTGCCTTTCGCGCTGGTCCTCACAGCCGCCTGCTGCCCACTGTGCCATCCCCCACCGCATCACTCGACCCACCCGGCCCCCCACCTCTCGACCACACGACCTCACGAGCCCTCAGCAGCCATGCGCCTTGCACGCCTGGCCCTCGTGGGGCTGTTACTGGCCCTGGGGAGCGCCCGCATGGCAGGTGGGGATGCAGGGAGGTTGGTCGGGGGGTGGAGCTGCCCCTTGGGGGCCTTCACAAAAAGGCCCCCCCTTAAGGGCTTGCTGCAGCCTGCACACAGCACCACGGCCCCCTCTGAGCTTCTGAACAGCCTATAGGGAGCCGCTGTAGTTTCTGGGGAGGCGCTGGCCTCTGTCTGACCCAGTCTGACAGGCTTCCCGCCGCCGCCGCCTTGCAGCCGCCGCTGCTGGAAGCACCGCCTGCCGCGACAAGCCTGCGCCCGGCGCCTGGTCCTGCAAGCAGCAGCGCGCCTGGGGCAAGTGCGAGGACAAGTGGCTTGTGGCCGGCGGCTGGTGCGTCGCCACCTGCGGCCGCTGCGGCCAGGCGCCCGCCGCCGCCAACATCCAGGCCGACGCGCCCACGCCCGCCGCCGCCAGCGCTCGGGCCGCCGCCTCCAAGCCTGCCATCAACGCCCCCAAGCCTGCCGCCAACGCCTCCACCACCACGCCCTCCAAGCTCCTGTCGGGCAACGTGGGCGAGTACGGCAAGGTGTGTCTGTCTGCGCCGGACAGCAGGGCGGCAGCCCTACCCACCAGTTCCCAGCCTGCCCCTTACCTTGCCCACTGCTGCAGCTCAGCGTGCACCCTGCACCCTGCCTGCCCCCCACCCTGCCCCCTGCCTCTCACCTTGCACCCTGCACCTTGCACTCGCCTGCCGCCCGCCCCCCCCACCCGCAGGTGCTGGGCATGTCCTGGCTCTTCATCTACGCCCAGCGCAGCGGCAAGCTGTCCGCCGCCAACAACCCCATCGACTGGCGCGGCGACTCACACCTCGCAGACCGCGTGCCGGGTGAGGCGTGGGCTTTGGCACCGCCCCCGCGCCTGCCCTCGCTGCCACCCCGCTGCACCTGCCTGTGCCGCCGTCCTGCCCAGGCAGAGGCTGCACGCTCCCCACCTCTCACCCGCTACCGCCTGTTGTTCACCCTTTCCTGGTGCGCTCCCCCGGTCTGCCTCTCTCGGGGCCTCACCCTCCTGCAGGCGGCTTCTACGACGCCGGCGACCACCTCAAGCTTAACTTCCCCCTAGCCACCTCCCTCTCCTTCCTGGCCTGGGGCGTGCTGGAGTTCCCGGCCACCTACGCCGCCACAGGGCAGACAAAGGTGAGGCGGCCAGCAGCGGGGCCGCGGCAGGGACCACAGCGCCGACGGTTCGCAGGCGGCGGCAGCCACGTGTGGAGCATGCCTGCCTCCTGTGCCGCCGCCCTGCTGGCGCCACCTTGCGCGCCTGCCCCGCCTGCC